ATTGGTTCTTATTTAATATAACTAGTTTATCTGAACAATGATTGGTTCTTATTTAATATAACTAGTTTATCTAAACAATGATTGGTTCTTATTTAATATAACTAGTTTATCTAAACAATGATTGGTTCTTATTTAATAAAACTAGTTTATCTAAACAATGATTGGTTCTTATTTAATATAACTAGTTTATCTGAACAATGATTGGTTCTTATTTAATATAACTAGTTTATCTGAACAATGATTGGTTCTTATTGAATAAATATTGAAACACACCAGCTCCTGGAGTGAATTCACTAGGATCCATCTTGAGAATGTAAGGAATGATGCTGTTGATCTGAACACTCCCAATCAGCCCAGAGAAAAAGAGTTCTTCAACAATAGTAGCTTGGATGGATCGCAGTACAGGTAGCCTGTCAAGTGGAAACACCTAGCTTTCTTAACTAGATAGTTCTTAAAGCACAATAATATCAGCTTAACAACCGGCATCCTAACTAGATGTTTATAAAATGATGTTTTTAAGATGGTAAAAACACTATTACTTTTCAGCAATACTAGCTGGGATGGAAATAAGAAAATTCTTAACTAGAACATTTTTACAGGAAAAACATTAATTGTTAGATTTCAGTATAGCTAGCCTATTAAGTGTAAACATCTAGAATTATTAACTAGACAGTTTTTATAGTGTAAAAACACTAATTAGGCTAAAAATAAAAAGGGCCTAATTCCAATGTCAATAGATCTTTACTGCCTGATGAAGGGCATTCTGCTAGAAACATTGTAGGAAATCAACTTGAAAAAGTTTTTATTTAGACATGTTAATTTGTTACTTCTTATCATTTATACCAGGTTTATTCTCATGTCTTGACTCATTCAAACATCCAGCATTCTTAACTAGACAGTTTTATTGTGTAAAAACCCTAATACTTTCAACAAAACAACTTGAATGGATCACAATACAGGCAACATGTCAAGTGAAAACATCCAGCATTCTTAACTAGATAGTTTCATTGTGTAAAACCATTGATATTATTCAACAATGCCAGTTTGAATGGATCACAATACAGGCAACATGTCAAGTGAAAACATCCAGCATTCTTAACTAGATAGTTTTATTGTGTAAACCATTGATATTATTCAATAATGCCAGTTTGAATGGATCACAATACAGGCAACATGTCAAGTGAAAACATCCAGCATTCTTAACTAGATAGTTTTTAAGACTGTAAAAACAATAATACTCTTAATAACACTAACATCAATAAAGTGCTCAAGAAAGCTCTTAACCACCATGGTATGGGTAGGTCAAAATGTGCATGTCATAATCTTTTACAGAGTTACCTTCAAAATTTACTTAACTTATTTTATTATTAATATATACAGATAATCTTGGCATGAAGACATAGTTAATAAATCAAGTC